CGTTTGTTCATTTTGTCTTGATTGGCACTCAGTCAAACAACAAAGGTGCGTAACCTAGAGAAGCTAAGCGATTAACCCAATGTGCTGCTCCGGTAAACAAACCTAATCCACAAACTGACCAGTGACTAGCGTTGTGGTAAGTGTCCTTAAGACTGTCATTCACAAAAGAGTGAGCATTAAAAAACCGTTTGAGGACGTATGAAAACCCTTCTGTTATCATTAAGGGCTGCAGTTCTGGGTGGCCTTTTTTTGGGGTGGAATCTGTCATCAAGGAAGAGATGGGGGTGGGGTAAGGTGAGGGGGTGTTGTTTTGAAAGGTACCCCGAGAAAACCTGCAGTGAGGGAAGGCAACCTGCCGCCCACATTGCGTGTGCGATCGCTAAAATTAGAGAGCGGTGGTGCTTGTTGTTGTTGCTGTTACTGTTGATGTTGTGGAAATTTGGTGACATAGGATGTTGATCTGAAATAAGTTCATATCAGTGAGTTACCCTGTGTCCAAGACTGCTCCGGTCACCGAGGAACCCTTTGATTGTGGCCCCCATGCGTTTGGGTGGTCCTGGAAAAACTGCTGGATTCTCAGAACCTTTCCTCTAAGCCAAGAGGGATTTCAGCATGAGTGGTGTGGTGGGTTTCCAGGGCAACACGCACACAGGGCCGCACTAAAAATGGCCGCCTCTGTGCCTTTGAAAACATCTGAGACCTCTTGAATGTTCGGAGAAGTGTGCGTGAGTGCGGGGAGGGGGATTTTCATCCCTGGTTTAGCAGCTGGGGGTGGGGGTGGGGAGTGAATACGGCTTGGTTGGCTGCATGGGGGTGGTAGCTGTTATTGAACGGCTTGCACGTGAGGCGCTGTGGGCTACGGACGACCTGGCAGCACCCAGAATGGGGGGGGGCGCTGGTGGAAATGCCATTTTTCAGCGAGAAATCTGTTTGGTCCTACATGTGCTTTGAAACACCAAGACGGCTGCATCTGGGGGAGCCCCTGGAAAAACTGCCCCTCCCCCTCCAACTGTTCTGTGATTGGCTCGTTCTGCTCTCGGCCCTGCCACCCGCACGTGTTGTGTTGTAGTTAAAACAGAACCTGATTGCATTGGTCCCCCCCCCCCCTGTAATTTAGGGGCCGAGGAGGCGAAGGTATTGCTCTGTGCTAAATACATTGCTGTGATTAGAAGGGGCCACTCTCGTTTAATCACTGGCTGATTACCTGGACGCAGTCTGTCACATTTTGCCCGGAGCCAAAGCGGCTCATGTCTCTTACATGTAGCGTGTAGCATTCTTCTTAATGCTTAATGGCAGCAAACGCTAAGGAAGAACCATCAAAGCAATGCTGTAATGTTAAACCTGGGAGTTTGGTTAATTGTGAGAGCAGATGGCATCAGTAAGAGGCGTGATCACTGAGGAGCTTGAGTGTTTCGATACAGTGTGGTCTCATCACGTCTGCACGGGGTGGGATGGATTACGGCGACCCAAAGAACCTGTTTGGGTGAGAAGGCCGTTTGATGGGGCCCTCTGGGTGACCCAGGGCAGGAGTCAAGCGCTTCAGACCTGAACTATGCAGCCCTCTGAGTAGAGACTGGGAGGGTCACAGGAAGAGGGAGGGGGGTTTATGTCAACCAAGATATGTTGGCTGCCCTCTGACCCCAAGCTCCTCCCACAGTCCTGTCAGGTGACTACAGGTTGCCAATCAGGGAGAGTGCTTATTCAGTTGGTGTGTATCTTTTTTTTTTTGGGCAGGGACTATTTCAGGGGGTGTGCTGGGCGTTATGGACAGCCACATCTGATAGGGAATCGTAAATCTGGAGCTAGAAGTAGTCTGTCCTACGCAATGTTTGATTGTGGCCACCAGCGCTCTGCATTGCGGCCCGCCCTGCGGCCGTAGCATAAGGAAATGCATGCACTCCTCCCCGCCACCCCCCCGCCGTGTGCTTTATGTGTGTAAATATTCACTTCCCCTTACTCAGCAGTTGTTTAATGAGAAGGCAGTACTAAGTCACGGGGGCTGTCAGCACTCACTGGAGTATGGAATGGTTCAGCTAATTATTTACCTGCCTCCCAGCGAGGGGGGTGTGACTGACTGGGGTGACGGACAGCATGGGCTGCGGCGGCTTGTCCGCAGCGCCGGAAAGTGGAGCTGAATTAGCCCTTCATTGACGCGGACGCCATCTTGCCACCTCTAGGTGGTTGGTTCAGAAGAAGGCGGTGTGTGTGCGTGTGTGTGCGTGTGCGTGTGTGTGCGCGTGCGTGCGTGCGTGTGTGCGTGCGCGTGCGTGCACATGAGGCTCTTAAACTGTCGCTTGGATGTATATATATTCTTATTACCAGTAGAAAGGGAAAACAGTTTTGATTTTGAAGCCAGTAATTAGGATCGTTTGTTCACCGAGGAGTCATTTGTGTAGCTGCTGATTAAACTAAACTACGTTCGCTGGCCCCTGGAGACTACTGGCATATTTTTAGTTTTTTTCCCCCTTCTTTTAATGAAAAATGACTTCTCTTCCTTCCTTTGCTTTGGTACCAGGTGTGTGCCCATACATGAACCATTTATATGAGCTTTTAATAAGGTGGTTATGAACAATAATAGGATTACTTATAACTAGTCATATTAGTAACAGATGGTTACGGTGATAAGGATGAGCTTTATAAAGGTGTAGACAGTGTGTTTCAAACGCATATTTCAGCATCATTCTGTTCTTATTGATTTGGCTGGCCATTCTGTCGTTATCCATCGCGGCTGTTGTCCGTGACGTCGCGCGTGTAAACCCCCCCGAAGGTCCCTCGGCGATCTGAGAGCGGAAAGAAAAATGCTGGAAGATGATGTATTTACGGTTTGTCAGCCATCCTTACGGGGATCTCGGTTACTCTGCAGTCAGTCACTTTTGCTGGGGGGGGGGAACAGCACAGACCTAGAAACCCATATTTCACTTTCCGTCACAGGAGCGTCCGGCGGTAGGAACGGCTTTTGTAAGACGGCTGTGGGCCTGTTGGTCATCCCCC